ACTGCTCAGAATGTAAATAATTAGTAAACTGCCCCCTTTCATCAGCTGAGCCAAGCAAATGAAGCAGAAGGCAGAGTTGGTCGTGTTGCTCTGATTCTCGCAGGGCAGGTTTTTATACTAAAACTTGCATCTGAGGCTCTGCACGCACGTGCATTGAGCTGAACATACAGATCATACTGGGTTGATTTTACTTGTTTGAATGTAAATTCCAGGCAGCTAAAGCCTGTGGCTCTGTAAAATGTTAGACAGGGATTACGTTCACCAAATGAGAACACAAAAAATACACTGTATTAAAAAAAAACAAAAAACAACTACATACTGCTTTGACAGACAGATCTGTTTCAGAGAGGCCCAATTCTGCCCTCAGTAACATTAATTAGAGCAACAGAGAGATCCCTAATTATTTGTTTTCTCATCAATATCGAGCTAAGCTTTTATCAATGTAATTTGAAGCAGTATTAAAAGTGATAAATGCTAATTTATAATTGTTGATACTATCAAACCCAAATGATTTGTAACCGTACATAGCTGTGCCAGATTTTTATCACATTATAAAGGTTAACACAAGTGTTACAAGAAACATCAATGAGCTATGCAGACTACGTTTGCTTTTGGTTAGATAAGTATGCTTTGTAGTAGTTGATATTCCCTCTAGATAATGGATATGGGCCAGATTCTCTGCTGACACAAAGCAATACACAGAATATGGAGGGAGATATGCTGATTTACACTAGCTGCAGATCTAGCCCTAATGCCTTTGGATGCAATAACTCCATCTTAAATAACTCAATTTCCTAAATATTACTCAGCCATTCCTCGCTATTGCCAAAAGGGAACTGTGAATGCCAAGCTCTGCAGGATTTTATTTAGCAAAGCTTCTTTCGAGGCATCTATCATTTTGGCACACAAGCCTTGCGCTACGATCAGAATCAAACATTTCCATGAAACAGCAGGATTAATTCTAGAGAAAGAATGCCATGTAGTGCTTGCTGTCACTGTGCTATCTGTTCCATCTCCTTCTTTCTATGACAACAGCCCATCACGTTCCTACATTTAAATACTTCTACGGCTTGATGCTGCTGAACCATATAAACAGAATTAAAGGTGTTACAGCATGCAGCTCTTTAAATACTGGGTTTCTGATTGCTCGCTGATTGTATTTCTGTATTGACCTGTCTTGGTGAGAAGCTAACAAAACGCAGAGCTACAAGAAAAAACACATTTCTATTTGTTACATAAGCACAAAATTATTTTCCCAACTAGGTGCTGTGCTAAATTATGTTTCCATGCCCTGACATTAAGCATCTGGAGACAAACAGAACCTGAACCATCCAGCCTAATTTTCCTTTGAGGTTTATCTGTTTTTACTTCCTTTGCTGGATGTCAGCTTATAATAATTACTCTTCTATACACATCTCCAGCACTAATGTGACAGACTGTGAATGCTTCCTGACAATAGAGCATAATATCCTCCTCACAGGCTTCCAACAGCAAGGCTGCGATCCCACCGCTGACTGCATCAACATGCAAAAAAGTCTGACTTGAAACACTGACAAATTCCAAGCGGATTTGGTTTCCTGTTTGGAGGACCAGGCAGACTACACATTTCTCAATAAATTCCAAAAAAATAAGGTGAAATGTAAAGGGTTTGAGCGCAGCGCGTGATGCCCGTACCCGAATGTGCCTGAGCAGCAGGAGCAGGAGCACAACTTTGAAGTGTCTGTAAATTATGTCAGAGCCTTTGAAAGGCAGCAAAAGCGTCAGGGTGAAATCCACCGCCAAGAAATGTTGCTTACAAAGACAGGCTACCCATATCAACATTCAGCAGCGTTCCCAGCATTTTTGTGAGTATGACAAACTACACGTGTCTGTGACACAGGAGCAGACAGGGAACCGCGCTGCGGTTGGCAGAAGCAGCAGGGATCTTTTTGGTTCTGCATTCGGCACTAAAGGTGAGCACCTTTCACGTAGGCCTCGACTGCAAACCTTTGAATTTGGCCTGGGACAGGGAGCTCTGTCTTGTGAAGGAGCAAATGTGTTATAACTGTGGAGTTCTGTTTCTCTGTGGGAGAAAGGGAACGACTGACAATTCAGCAAATGCAGTAATTTCCCTTAATTAGTAGGATGCTAGGATGTGTTAAAATGCACAAAAGGACAAAGCTGCTCTCCCCGAGGATGTGTTGCCCAGCACATGGCGGTGATGCTTGCTTACACATCCAAACCACTGCACCATTTTATTACTTACTTTTGATGCGATCTTAGATAACATAGAAATTCTCCTTGTGATTCATTTCTATTTGATGTATAAAATACAAATTCAAATATATTTTTGAGAGTTCAATCTGATACGCATTCTGTAAATAAAGGGACTTTTCTAACAGGTGAGATTTCTCCATACTGTTAGAAATCAGGGGAGCTACAAAGTGAGGAACAAGCAGCTCTTCTCTGCTCGTCTCTGCTGCTAAGCACTTAAAGAAGGAATGAAACATTAACAGCTCAAAAGTGTAGAATTTAAGCGAGCCTATAATTTAAATGTGAAAGCTGACAGTTCCTTTAAAAAGATATATATTTTTTATAGAGAGATATCTCTTTTTTATAGGAGATTTGAAGTTTGGACAAAGAGAAAGCAGCACCAAGTCAGAGAGAAGAAAATCAAAAGATAAATGGAGAAACCCTTCTTGATTAATTTTCCCTAAATTAATGTCACTTAAATTCCAAAAATGCCACCTAGCAGCAAAAATGTTTTTCAGGTTGAACTTAAAATCAGAGATATTAAATTCCTGATCAAAACCATATTCAGCTTCTATGGGTTTTGCCTTACCGAAATAAATTAAGCTCCTTCACATATTTAATTAAAAAGTTAATTTCCTGAACTCCTCACTTAAATCAGAACTATTTGTGAGCAAACACCGAATGTTTTATTGAGCAGTCCCTGTCTGCAGCCAAACAAGGCACTGCCTGCAATTCAGACATGCAAGACAAACCTGGGAGCATAACATCTTCCTGGAAGGCTATGCTAAGCACTGCACTTTCCCTGGGCAGGAGGGCTGCCTACAAGGACTGCACCAAAGAAATGGACCTCGCTAGGGCTTGGCTCAGAGCAGGAGCTTCTTTGCTGCCTTGCACGTTGGTACCAGAGACATGTAAAGAATTCTCCTGGGCCTTTTGGGTCTGTGTGGTCCTTTTCTTTGATGCTATGATACTATCAGGGACTGAAATGTGACTGTTGAGTTGTTCCTTCAGAAATCAATCCCGCAAGAAATACAACCTGTAGTAAATAGTTACTTAATGTGTTTCTCTGATTGAAACATTTTTTTTCTTTGTAGAATCCATACATTATAATAAAGTAGGCTCACTGCTGACCTAAACCAAAGGTTCTGGGGACAGCCCATTGCTCTGGAGCTGAAACTCCTTGAAGTCAGTAACGATTTTGTACAAAATAAGTGCTAGAAACACCATCTTACGTTACCATCTTCTAACTCTGCAAAAACCAATATACAGGAAAAAAAGTGCAGCTCTGGGAGTTTTCAGAAACACTTATGGCAATTCTGAAATTTTAAGAATTAAAATTTCCTGACACACAAAATGATTTCCCTTCACTTTGGACAGCTGCTTTATTTTCTTCTGAGCAATGAAGAACAAGCTGGGAAAACAGCAGCTTGCACAGACCAGGGTGGTTTGTTTCACCGATTAATTAATATTCAAGTATTAATGAATTTCCTTTGGAGTTTCTTTATTTGATATACATTCCCTTCCTCTTAGAAATTATAATGAACAGAGTTTAGAAGGTGCAAACACTGTGCACGAGTGGTGAAATCTGCTCAGCCTGTGTGAATGCATCGTGTTCCCTTTGGAGGGGGGGAAAGGGGAGAAGAGATCTTGCTGGGAGGTGGGGCAGGGGAAGTGAAAGCACAGATCTGCTGAAGAAAATTATTGAAAGGACTGATGCGGACTGTGCCGTGCTGTGAGGAATCCTTAACAGATTAATTTGTCTTTGAAGCTAGATTTTAATTCATAGATTTCCACACGCTGTCGATGATGAGGGAGGAGATTTCCGCGGCGTGCAGCCATGCCCCACGCGTGCACATTTCTGACGTTTTTTTTATTACCATCCTGTTTCACAGCCGTGGTCTCTGCACCTTCGTAAATCCACGGCTCTGAGCTTTGTCCTCTCCTCCATTTTATGGTTTTTCTTCTCCTCCATTTTATGTCTTTTCTTACGTGTTGTGTCTCTATGTGACAGCGGTGCCACGGGACGGAGGACGGCCGCTCCCGAGCCCACCTTGCCCCCGTCGCGCCTTCCCGGTTCCTGGCAAAATGCAAATTCCCGGAACGCCGTCCGCCGGGCTCGGCGCTTCGTCCACGGACGCAGAGGCACTCATCGGTACGCCGAAGCGTCGGAACAGCGCGGCGGCAGCGCAGCGCGCACCGAACGGAGCCGTTCGCCTGGAGGTGCCGCGAGGCCTAAGGCGGACACACGTGGGGCGCGCCTCGGAACCGCGGGCCCGATCCTGCGGGCGCCGGGATTTCCTCTTCTCCGCCCGAGCGCGGCTGAGAGCCGAGCTTGGAGATTCACGTTTTCACCTACTGACAGAGAACCCCCGTCCGAAATGGGACTGCCCCCCGCCTCGGGGTAACAAACAGCACGCACCGAGCGGGGCAGCCGAGGTGCGGAACGGGAGCGCTTGAACACCACAAAGGGCACACCGTATTTACGCTGCACGGATTTGGCCACGTTTGCCCGCGGCCGGCCGGCGTCTCCCTTCGCCGCGTCCGACCTCCGCAACACGCCGCCCGCCGCCCTCTCCCGCGCCCGCCGCCGCCGCCCCGGGCGGGAGGAGGCGCCGCCAGGAGAACGCTCGGCGCTCAGCGCTCTGCACTCCGCGCTCGGGCTCAGCTCCCCGCCCGGCGGCGCCTCCTCCCGCCGGTGGCGCAGCCGCGACGGCTCCGCCTCAGCGGCGGCGGTCACGTGGGCGCGTGTCGAAGGTCACGGCGCCGCAATGGAGCTGTCGGCGTACGCTCAGGGCGGCTGCCGGCTGCTGGGCGACCCCCGGCGCCTGTCCCGCCGCGCCTACTCCGCGCTGCTCCGCGCCGCCTTCCGAGGCGTGCTGCAGCCCCACGGCGGCGTGGGTGAGCGGGAGCGGGCGGCGGGGCTCTGCGTGGGGCGGCGGGGCCGCCTGCGTGCCGCCTGCCGGGGTTAGGGGTGCGTGTGTGCCTGCGGGTGCGCGTGCGGTCGGGGTGTCCGTGCCTACCGGCGTCTGTGCGCGCGTGGGGATGTCCGTGCACGTGAGTGTCCGTGCATGCGTGTGGGTGTATGTACGTGCACATAGGGCTGTCTGCGTGCACTTGCGGGTGTGCGTGTATACAGAGCCACGTGCATGCGTGTGTGCGTCCACATCGGGGTGTGCATGCTTAGAGATGTTAGTGCGTGCACATAGAGGAACGTGCACGCATACAGGTGTATGTGCGCACACATGAAGGTGTGCTTGCACATGGGTCTGGGCATGCACATAGGGGTATGTATGCACGTAGGTGCTCGGGCATGCACGTAGGTGCGCACACGGGGTTGTGCGTGCACATAGGTGCTCGTGCGTGCACGCGGGCAGGCGCGTACCGCGCCACCGGCGGTCCCGGGCCATCCCCACCGGCCGGACCCCTCCCGCGGCCGCTCCGCTCCTCCGCCTGCTGAAGCTTTCGCCGCGTCCGTGCCCGCGCCCCTTCGCGTTTCTCCCCGGGTCGGGCTCGGGGCTGGGGGGAGCCGCTGCTGCCCGCGACCCCGATCAGAGGAGCGGAGCCGGGCGGGACGCGGCTTCGGGTCGCGGGATGGAGCGTGCGGCGTGGGGCAGAAGCGCCGTCCCGCGGGCAAGCGGCGGTGTCGGCAGCCCCGCGTCTCCCGCAGCCGACCCCGAGCTGAGCGACGTTGACCCCGCGGTGCTGAAGCAGTGCCACGCCGCCGCCGCCGCCTGCATCCTGGAGGCGGGCAGGCAGAGAGCCGACCGAGCGGCCCTCAGGTACTGATACCGCCCGCCACGGCCCCGGCAACGCCGCCGCACGGCGCCGGGGCTGGCGGGGTTCTGTGTGTGTGTTGGGGGCCGCCCATGGCCGTGTGTCCTTCTGCAGCGCGTGCCTGGAGGAGTGCAAGCTGGACAGGGAGCGGATCGAGCAGTTCTGCACCGAGTACCAGGTCTGGCACCCTTCTGTAACATGTCGGTGTTTTCTTTCTTCTGGAGCAGTCGTTTCAAATTTGCAAATGTATTTTGCTCTCGCCTTTCTTTTTTTTTCCTTTTCTCCAGGAAAACCGGGAGGCACTGGAGGAGCTGCTGGGGAGGTAAGTGGGCACAGGGCCGCAGTAGGGGCTGCTCCAGCACTGCCTGGGGAGCACCAGGCACACTTCCCCTCATCCACGTCAACAGTAATGCTTTATTTTTTTTTTAAATTACCATTTTTTGTTGCATTTCTAACAAACTTTATAAAACACCTATAGAAACTTGTCCCCCTCCTTTCCTTATTGCCCTTTAAGTCTCTGTGACCCATTGCAGCAGCGTTGCGTGCCGCAGACAGGCAGTGTGGTCTCAGCCCTTCCCACACCGCCTGCTGCTGTCTCTCTCCCAGCATAGGCCGGGCCCCCCCACATGTGACAGATGTGTCCTGGCGCCTAGCATACCGCATCCAGGTAAGGGCAGGGGCACAGGGTTGTGGGACCCCCCCGCTGCCCTGGCCCTGCTGTGCTGAGCACTGTTCTGCCACAGACCCACGAGCTGCACCGAGCCTACCAGCCCACCTACCTGCTGACCCTCAGCACTGAGGTATGCGCTCCTCACACCCCTCTCAGTGCCATTTATGTCATTTTGCAGTAAAGCAGCCTGCTTCGGTTTTGTTTCCTACAGAACAGTGATGTGGGATCACAGCCAGACCTCAGCTTCAGCTGCACCATGGAGCAGCTGCAGGTACCCCTGCTCCCTCCCTGTTTTTCTGCCTGGCTCCCGCTCTGGATGGCAATGTCTCTAGCACTTTTTCGGTCACAATTAGATGGCACAAATAATTATTAAAACAAACAAACAAACAAACAAACAAACAAAAAAGCCACCAACCAACCAAACCAAAAACAACAGGCAGGAGGGTAGAATTTGCTGTGCTACACTTCTAGTCATGGTCTTAATTGAAGTTGTAAAGTGACTGATTTCAGTGGCATGTGCTGCTGCTTTCTGTACACGCATAGATAGTGGGTATGCTGTCATACATATGTTTGGGAGGGAATGCATCACTTCCCCAAAATCCTTGTCCCAGTGGTTCAGAGAAGCTGCTGAAGGAAGCAGCTGAATGACATGTCATGCTCCCAAGTAGGGAATGAACTGAAGCCAGTGTCAGTGTGTAGGTGACACACCAGCAGTGTGATGAAGCAAACATTGAGCTCTGCTCTGTGCTGTAGTTATGTGCCTGTGCAAAAGGGAGGGAACTGGAGGCACTGGGAGGCATCTTTGCCAGTGCCCATGTTTGGGTTGATGGCTGCCCCAGGCAGGACTGGCACATGGTGTAGTCCCTGTGCAGAATGGCACTCAGGGTATTTTCAGGGTGGAAGAAGTGCTTACGGTGCTCAGAGCAGCGATGTGCAGCAGCCATTGCAGCTGTACTGATGTGCTAAGGACAGCAATGTATGTTAGTAGGTCATATATATTACAAGGCATTGTCCTTCAGTTCCAGTGTACCACCCTATTTTACAGCAGAAAAAGTGTAAGAAATGGAACGATTTGCTTGTGTTGTCCAATGGACGAGGGTGAACTCCAGGATATCCCATCCTGCTATGCACAGAGGGCACTGTGGCACCACGTGCTGACCTTTCCGAAATTCATTCTGAGGTGTTCCCTCTCCCAGGATTTGGTCGGGAAGCTGAAGGACGCTGCCAAGAGCCTGGAGAGAGCAACACAGCTGTGACTGAGGGCAGCCGGGCACTGCGTGAGAACATTCCCAATGGCAAACACCCTTCTGTGCACATCTCAATGTACATCTCTTGATCCAAACCATTTTGTAGTGATTTCTAGATGTGAATTAAGCAAGCTGTTGGCATGGAATATGCAGTTGGTATTCCTCACTCCTGTTATATTTTCTTGAAAATTAACGCTTCAGTTAAATACTGCCTCAACCGTTGTGTCTGCAGAGCATCCCTCCTCTTTTATGCTGTGCATTTTCAATTAAAGACGATTTTCCCTTCTCGTACCGACTGGACGCAGCTCCCCACACCCGAGGGCGCCGTGTCGGCACGGGCCGCGGTTGAGACCTGCCTCCTCCCGGGGCACCGCACGCCGACGGCCGCTCCGTGTTCCTCTTGGGCCGATCCCGGAGCCCGACGGCGGCTTTCCCCCTACCTCGCGCCTGGCGATGCCCCCCACCCGCACCTGCCGCCGGGGGGAGCGCGGGCGCCGCGGGACGGGTCGGGTCGGTCCGCCCCCCGGGGAGGCGCGGAGGGGCCCCGACGAAGGGCAGCGGCTCGGCCCCGGCGCAGCCCCGCTCCGCGCTGCGGGGCTCTGCCGCTTCCCCCCGCCCCCGAGGGGCCCCGCGCGGCGCTGCCCCACGCGTGGGCGCGGGAGGGCCACGCAACAAGTGCGGCGTGGGGGGCCCCGAAGGGGGGGGGTGAACGCGCATGGCCGCGGG